AAATTATTTAATAAATTAGCCAGAGAATTATTTTTAATAATACTATTATAATAATAGATATTACGGAATTATATTTATATAATATCTAATAAGCTTATATCTAATTAATAAATTTACTTAATTATAATTTCTATATTAATTTACTTTATAATTTTATTAGAGAACTAAATTTAAAGAATAATTCTATTTTAAAGATTATAAAACCATTATATAATATATTAGAAACTAGAATATATTAATTTAAGACTTATTATTTCTATAATATTAATAAGCTTTCTATAAAATAATTAATTTATAACTCTTGATTTTTTATAGTAAGTAATTCTTTGAAATTATTAGCCTTTAAACTAATAATATTCTATTTATTAGAACTAATAATTTTATAAAAGCAAAGTAATTCAAGTTTTAAAAAACTAAATTCTTAGCTAAAAAAATATAAATACCCTTATTTTTAATTATAATTTCAAGTTTAATAAAAGTATTATTTATATAAATATTACTAGAATTACTTTTATATAAGAATACTAATATAAAAAAATACTATTATTATAAATAATAAAGATACTATTTATTAAAATCTTTTTATTAAGAATTAATATATTTCCTAATATATTAGAAAAATATATATTATATTAGTTTATTAATTAAAAGCTTAATATAACCTATTAATTATTATTTAAGCTTTTAAATTCTCAAAAACTAATATAAAGATATTTAATAAATATATTTAATAGCAAATTCAGAATATTACTAGAGAACTAAAATTTATAAAACTAGTAAAAAAGTCTTTATATTTAATTATTTTTATAAATAATAGAGATTTCTTTTCCTAAATTAAATATATTCTAGTTCTAGTAAATAGAACTAGATATACTAATATTATTTACTAGTTCTTTACTAAATATAAGAGAATTACTAAAAGTATTCTAATTTCGGAATTCTATAATATAGCTTATAATTTTAATATAAGTATTTTAATTAAATTTATAATTAATAAAATAATAGAAATAGAATTACTACTAGTTATTTATATGAATTTAAAGTTATTATATGAATGCCTTATTAAATTAGATATTACTCGAGAGAAATACCTAATAATTAATATAATATATTTTTACTAGATATATAAATAATAAGAGATTATAGAAATTAAATAAATTAAGGGAAAATCGAATTCTACTAATTCTATAACGAAATCGAAGCTATTAAATACCTTTAAATATCCAATTAATATAAATATAATATAATTAGATATAAAGATATAAATTAAATATAAATAAAATAGAAAATAAATATATAAGATAAGAATATAGAATAAAAGAATATATATAAATATATAAAGTATTTAGAAAGTGTAATACTAGGCCGAATTAGGAAATTAGTATATAATTAAAAAGAAATACTATTTTTCGCGTTTTTAGAAAAGTTTTAATATTAATATAGCTATTTTTTTAGAAGTTATATATATAATAACAGGACTTGAAATATAAAATATAAGTAATAAAATATAAAATACGAGATATAGTTATATAATCTTATATTTTATAAATAACTCGACTAATAGCTAGTTTCTATTAGGCTTAATAGATTTAGAAATTATATATTAATATTATAATACTATAATTCTTATTTCTAATTTAATTATTTTACTAATTTAATATATTAGTATTTCATATATATTATATAATAGTATTATATATTACTAAGAAAGTAATAATTATTTTTATATTTATTATATTAATAAATACTATTAAATTAATTAAAAATAATTAATTAAAAATAATTAATTAAAAATAATTAATAATTAATTAAAAATAATTAATTAAAAATAATTAATTAAAAATAATTAATAAAAAAAACTTAAAAAGAAATATAAAAAAAACTAGAAAATAATAATAAAAAAAGTTATTAAATATATAATTATTAAAAAAAAAAGAAATATATAATAATATAGAGAAATTCTTATATATTAATAAAAAAAACCATTTAAATTAATTACTTAAATTTCGTACTAGTTTAATTAAAAATTAATATAATTAATTAATATTATAAAAGAGAAATTATAATAAAACAAAAACTTATATAAAGTATATTAGAATATAAAACGTAACTTAATAGTAATATAATAAGATTAAAGATATAAATAGTAAAATATAAATAGTATATAGTATATAAAAGCTTAATTAATTAAATATAAAAGAGGAATTATTATCTAGAACTATAGAAAAGCCAGCTTTCTTATGTGATTTCCGCAAGTCACGTGCAAAAGGCCCCAGCCTTTGTCATGTGACCAAAACATCAAAACTATTAAAACAAGGCGATTTTAATAGAATACGGCTTGCCGTACTATAATCAGTGTGGGCAAAAACTACTTAAGCTACTCAAGCTACTCTAGAGTAGTCTTGAGTAGAGTAGAGTAGAGTTTGAGTAGCGTAATATGGTACTTGAGTAGAGTAGAGTAGTCACGTGCAAGTTACGTAAATATAATAAATCAATATTTATTTAATTATTAATAAATAAATAAGGTATATATTAAGTAGCACTATATAATTTAAGCTAGAGCTTATATAAGGCTACTTAAATACCACTTTTCTTCTATAAAAACCAGATTTCCCTCCTCGAAATCTTTCTTTTCCTGCTTTTTTTCTTCTCCTTTTACTTCTTCTAATTCGTCTTTAAATAACCCCCAGCTTTTTAAGTAAGATATTATCTTAATAGTACTCTTATTAAGTCTATTATATAATTTAAATAATAAGAATACCTTGAGAGAAGAGTTTGCCCTTAATAGCTAAGGAAACCTATGAATATATTAAGGTTCTAGCTTGCTTACTAAGCCTTGCCACTACTTAATTGGGCAGTGCAGTGGCGCTAGACTCGGGCTACCCCGGAGCCTTACCTAATTAGGCTAGTGTGTCACGTGTAACATCACGTGTAGTATCACGTGCATACTACTTAACTACTCTAGAATATTCTAGAGTAGTTGAGTAGAGTATTGAGTAGAGTATGAGTAGTGAGAAATTTATTTGAGTAGAATATGAGTAGGGCCCACTACTCTACTCTACTCTACTCATTTCCCACACTGACTATAATATATACTTTTAAAAGCTTATAAATAATTTCTAGAATTTTAGAAATATTTATATAAGTTTCTTATATAAATATTATATTAAATTCTTTTTATAAAACTAATTAAATTATTTTAATATAAAAATTAATAAATAATATAAGATCTAATAAACAAAATTAATTTTATAAAATAATATCTTAGTATTTTAAATCGGGCTAATTAAAATATTTAATTCTTAAATAAAATTATAATTATTAGCTAGTACTTATATCTAAAATATAATTACTAATTCTTTTTATTTATTTGACTCTAATTTAATTAGATAATTTTTGTATTTATTACTTAAATTATAATAGTAAAATTATTTCCTAAAATATTAGAATTTTTTTTTAACTAAATAAGTAATTAATTAAGTATTTTAGTAGAATAAATTAATAAATCTTAAGTATATAATCTTATAAGAAAAGTATAATTATAATATATATAAAGTCGTATATAACTATAATATATATAATAAATCTCGAGTATTATAAATATTAATTAGAGAAATTAATAATCTTTCTATATTATAATTATATTATTATTTATATTATAGCCTTTTATTTAGAGAAGGTCTTTTTAAACCTTATAAGAGAAATAAAAATTGGTTCTATATTAAATTTAATATTATAGTTTTATAAGTTACTAATTTATTTTATTATTTTATTACTTATTAATAAATATCTTATAGAAATACTTTTAATAAAGTATAAGAAAGAATATAAAAGAATATATTAAAATGTATTTGGTTTATTAATAAATTAAAGTAAAGAAATATTTATTATATAATATACTTGATTTATTTTTTATTCTTTTATAATTATAGCAAGAAGTTATAATAAACTTTATTATTAAACTATTTCCTTTTAGGTTTCGAAGTAAAATATATAATTTTAAACTTATTATAATAAATAAGTATATAAAATAATACTTAAATTAGGGGGCCTTCCCAGCCATTTATTAGAATCGAGAATGAAGGCTTCCAACCACCCGAATTGACATCTTTCTCTCGCGTTGTGGTGAATGAAAGGAGTTAGAAGTGAGGTCTCTGAATGCGTGGTCCCAACCGATGATTCATCAACCTCGACCTGATTCGCACTCGTAATACGGGGCATTGGCCCGGGCCAAGACGTGTCGGCCCGCTAGTGCGACTGCGTGCAAAAATGATTGGAAGAAATTGAGACATTGATGTTGCACAGCAGCTGCAGGAATTACGGGAAGCGATGTGACAGAAACTCAGGTAGACGGAAATTAAAAAAGCCGTGCAGATTTCAGCAACTCATGCCCCTGAAGCGCGTCCGTCTCTCTTTTACGCAGGACGCATATTTCCCAATAGATTATAAATACGAATTCAAGCTTTGTAAATTGGGCGTAGCTGCGGGTAAAGAACATTAGCGGGCGAACTAACTACTTCCCAGTCTTACAGCCAGCCACGGGCAATTGGCTAAAGCTGCACCTGAGACATTGGTTTAAAGGCTATGATCCACAGCAAGGAGAAAAGAGTAATGGGGTTGGAGCAAGACGTGCGGGGAGCTCCGTAGTTTGTGGAGCTGAGATCTGCACGAAGTGGCACGGCATCCCAGCCACAAGAATTATATCCAATCCGCAAACGAACAGTTATGCAAGGTGGGAGCTGAAAACTACCCTGATCGCTCATTAGGATGGACAATTCTCAGTTGCTGTACCACAACAGAACACTACTGCAATGCAATGCAACAGCTCTGCTGCAAGTAGCAGCTGATGCTCTTCATTGGGATGGTTTCCTCCAATCAACGTTGCAAGCAAGCGAAATTTCCAAGTTGGCACATATACGTCTCACGTGCCCACCACCTTTCAGCAGCACAGCTCACCTCGGCGGACGGAGCCTTCCCTAACTCTTCCCTCTCACTATTTTCCTCCCCTCGCATCTTGAAGCTCCTTCGTGAACCGAACCATCTCTTAATTTCACCCTTCACTCAATTGCCAAGATCACATCACAATGGGCTCAAACCCATTCAGAGCACTATTCGGAACCATCAAGAAGAAGCCCGCGAAAGCACCCGATGGCCAGACCGACGCAGAAGCAGCTCCCGGGGGCAAGCCCGGAGATGAGAATCCAGTGAAGACATCGATTCTCCACGACCTCACCCACCTTGACCTCAAAGAAGCCGAAACGATGGCCCAAGCTCTCACCACTATCGTGTCCCAAAAGCCCATGAACGACAAAGAGCTCCTCCTCGAAAATGGTGTCTCAATGCTCCAGTCACTTCCCCTCAACAGCGGGCTCAGCCAAACAATCTCCAATGACTTCATCGCCATGCTCTATCGCGACCTTCCTCATCCACCACCAACAAGAGCAGGCCATCCAGCTAGATATCGCGAGAATGATGGAAGCGGCAACAATCCCTGGACGCCTGGAATGGGCAAAGCCGGCTCGCCCTACTCTCGCAGCGTTCCCCCTTCCAAACCCAAGGGTCCTAATCTCCCAGATCCCGAACTCGTCTACGATCAACTCCTCAAACGCACCGGTCCATTTCGCGAACATCCATCTGGTCTCAATCGCTTGTTCTTTTCTTTCGCTACTATAGTTATCCATGAATGTTTTCAGACTTCAAGATCGGATCCGTGGATTAATGAGACAAGCAGTTATGTCGACTTGAGCACGCTGTATGGAAATACGGGAAAGGAGCAGAAAAGAGTGCGGACTCATCATAATGGGCTTATATTCCCGGATTCGATCGCGAGCGAGAGGATTATGATGATGCCTCCTGGTGTTGTGGCGGTATTGCTTATGTTCTCCAGAAATCACAATTCGATCGCAAAGAATTTGCTAGTGATTAATGAGAGCGGGAAGTATGGAGCTTGGGAGAAATTAACCGATAAGGAGAAAACTTGGTGAGCGAGTAATGTAATTTCCCCTGTTTCCAGCTAACAATAGAAAACAGGCAAGATGAAGACATTTTCCAGCTCGCTCGCAATATCAATGTTGGTTTCTTTGCTTCGGTGGTCCTCCATGACTACGTTGCGGCTATTCTCAACACACCACGTGCCAACTCAACCTGGTCACTTGATTTGGGGGCTGAAATCAAGCAGCTTGGAGTACGAGTCGATCGAGGACGTGGCAATGTGGTATCCGTTGAATTTGCTGTCCTCTACCATTGGCATGCCGCTCTCAGTGCCGCTGATGACAAATGGATGCAGTATGTCTTGAAGGATGCTGAACCTGGGCTCAAATCCATGGATGATGTGGACTTGGATGTTTACAAGAGAGTAATGTATAAAGGTGGCCACGACCTCTTAGCTAAGAAGGCAAAGGAATGGACATTTGGAGGCTTGAAGCGAGGTCCAGATGGGCGATTCAGTGACTATGATCTTGCGGAGATTATTAAAGGATGCATTGAAGAGCCAGCTCATGCTTTTGGAGCTCATGGCACGCCCCAAAGTCTGAAGATTGTGGATATCCTGGGCCAACTTCAAGCTCGGGAGTCTTTCAATGTTTGTACCATGAACGAGTGAGTCCCATCCCGGCTATCTCACCTTCACTAACCAACATCTCCCAGGTTCCGTAGATATCTTAACCTGCAAGAATATAAGAGCTTCGAAGAATGGAATCCGGACAAAGAAACCGCCAGAGCCGCTGAACTTCTATACGGCCATATTGATAATCTTGAACTGTACCCCGGCCTGATGGCAGAATGCACCAAGCCCGCCATGCCCGGCAGCGGTGTCTGTCCAGGCCAAACCACTGGTCGAGGGATCCTTGACGACGCAGTAGCTCTTGTCCGTGGTGACCGTTTTCTCAGCTACGATTTCAACAGCAGCACCCTCACTAATTGGGGGTTTGCGAAACTCTGTTCGATTACGCCAGGAGCGTACGGCGGCGTGCTGCCCCATCTCCTCTTTAATGGTCTTCCAGCAGCCTGGACAGGAACCTCTCCATATGTCCTCCTCCCGTTCTATACTCCGAAGGCAGCGAATGGAATCTTGGAGCAAAATAAAGTCATCAATCTCTACGATCTCGAGCGTCCCAAGAGCGACATGGAAATCATCGGAATCCACACCCACGAAGGCTGCAAGAAGGTCTTCGAAGACCGCGAGAATTTTGTCGTGATGTACCAGAAAGCCATCAGAGACTGCACAAATGGTCACGACTTCATGATCGGCTGGGACGATCCAGCTCGCCACGATCCTCGCTCCAGCCTCCTGCACAAAGTATTCTTCGAGGCCGGGTTCGAGGAGAACGTCACTACGTTCTTCCGGTCCAACGTCTCGCGCTTGATATCTGAGCACTCGCTCAAATATTCAAATAGCACCCGCCGATCAATTGACATTGTGCGCGACGTCACCAATGTGGTCCCGATTCTCTGGCTTGCCCAACGCTTCGCAATCCCACTCAAGGCTCGCGAAACACCCCATGGCTTGATCTCGATCCCTGACCTATTCATGTCGTACTTGGTGCTCTTCATGTACCAATCCTTCAACATCCTCCCTGCCAGCGAGTGGACTCTCCGCGACGGAGCACGCAAAGCCGCCATTGGCTTACGGGAAATATTCGATGCACACTTGAAGACGGCGTCAGGCATCACTTCCGAAATTGTGGACTGGCTCGCCGAGGGGACTGCTTTCGAAGTCTCTGCTCAGGCTAAGAGGCTTTACGAGGAGTTACTGAAAAGCAAGCTCCCGATTGGGGATCTGGTTGGAGATTGCATCGGAATGGGTGCTCCTGTCGCGGGCAACATCACGCAGCAAGCTTCCCTACTCATCGACTTATATCTCTCAGCTGGATATGAAGAGTACAAAGATCGTATCATCGAGCTCTCGAAACTTGATACTCCTGAAGCGGAGCGCGAACTTCAAGGTTTTGTCTTTGAGGGTATGCGTCACGCGGGCGCTGTTCCTGGTCTGCCTCGTATCGCAACGAAAGACATCACCGTTGAAGATGGCGCTCATGGCCCGGTTTCGATTAAGAAAGGCCACACAGTGCTCATCGCAACGTCTGTTGCCGCCATGGACCCGAAGCAGTTTCCCAACCCAGAGAAACTCGATCCTCATCGTCCGTTTGAGGATTACATCTTGCTTGGGCATGGACTGCATTACTGCTTCGGTGCAAGGCTGATTGGGTCGTCATTGGCTGCAACGTTGCGGGAGGTGTTCAAGCTGAAGAATGTGCAGAGGGGCAAGGGGGGAGGAGGGAGTTTCATGAGGGTTGAGGAGGAGTTTGCGGGGGTTAGGTTCACGAAGTATTTGGATGCTAATGCGGCAGAGAGTCCGATTCCTACGACATTGACGATTGAGTATGAGGAGTGATCTGGAAGGGAGATGGACTTGGGTGAAGGGAAGAGATTGTGGAGGGTTAGGCGTTTGATGGCATAATCTTTGACGGGAAAATGAATTGTATGAACTCTCTATGCTTGGCAATGGTTTCTTCGTTCGTTAATTTCTAGATGGATTAATAAATCCGTGGACTTCTCGATGTTGATTCCGTTCACTTGCACTTGTGGCTCTGGATAGGTTTAGCGGTCAGGGTAGGTGGAAGTAAGTTCACAAACTGCCCGGCATGGATTACTAGAATATTAACCATAGATTTCTATTCATATCACAGCTTCTTTTCATTGTAACGAGTTCTGGGTTAGGGGGTTGTCGCACGTGACGTAAATAAGAAAGGGGCACGGGGAGAAGGAAACAAGCGAGGCGGAACGAGCAAAAAGTCAACACCCCCCTCTCGCTTAGCCTGTTCACGCCCGTTCGTCAATACGAGCGATTTGGGAATCGGGCGCTATCAGGGCTAAGCGAGGGGCCCGATTGCTCAATCGTCTACTTAAGCGAGCTCCGGTTCATAAATCCGAGGTCGGATACGAGCGAATTTTAAAAATATTATAATATTTTCAAATTAATAAATTAATAAAATTCTATTAGTAGGATCTATTAAAAACAATTTAGTTAATAATACTATTTAAGTAATTTTAGCTAAAGCCTTTTATTAGAACCATATATAATTTTAATTATAAAATAGGGTTTTAAAATATATAATTATATAAATCTTTTTATCTTTAATAGAATTTAATCTAGGGAATATTTATTTAAGTTTCTTATAAGTATTAATGCTTTTTATTTAATTAAAATTTGGCCTTTGTGTTTTATTAGAAAGTTATATATTATTTTAAAATTAGGCCTTTTTATTAGCGAATCGGGCCCCTCGCTTAGCCCTGATAGCGCCCGATTCCCAAATCGCTCGTATTGACGAACGGGCGTGAACAAGCCGACCTAAAAACAAATTGCAACGACGTCTGGAAGCCAGCAATTTTTTTAAGCACCTTAATGAAAGAGAACCCATAGAGCAGAATAGAGCTAATTTTGTAGGCGCGCTCACTTAGAATATCCATCTCGCGATGTATATCATGTGCCTTGGTACTGTACCCCCCAGAGTCCCAGGCGTCCGTGGCTTTACCAGTCACAAGGCTGCAGTTTCCTTTCCCATTGTACTTGGTCTGGGTAAGACCCCTACTCCGCTCCCCACTGCACAATGAAACCACCGACAGAAAATCGTCAAATTTAACCTATATACCATTAACCCGCAAGGCTCAATCCCGACATGAAGTAAAGATGTGCAAGAAACATCAAACATCAAACATCGTTTAAAACTAGTCAGGTTGCCTTGCGGCCAATTACCATTGTTCTTCTCGCACTGCAGCAACAAGCCCATGGGATACGGTAAAGATTAAAATCTTCGCTCAACAACACGCCAAATCGTTTAGACCTCTAGTACCCGCTCGCCTCCGCCAAGCCAGGCAGACTTGCCCCCTCTCCACTCACCGATCGCTCGGATACGCAAAGCAGTTCTGAAAGCGGACCTCCTTATATAGACAACTGTTCGTCGAATCTGAACACGTCCTCACTAGGGAGAGACACCATGCCACAAGTATTGCAAGAACTCGACAGAAGGGGTATCTTGATTCTAGCCCGCATTAATCATACAGCTATTGTTCACAACCAGTACTTCCCGACAAGTATCAAGCCTGCCCATCTCTCGGCAGTGGGTTGTCCCGAATCTCCCTAATAGCCGCCCGCACTCCTGCGTTACTCTCAAAGCTCAAATTAATCAGATCAACCACCTCTTCCGCCGTGAAATAAAAGCTTAGATGGCTCTCAAACCACAAGAACTTGACATCCTTCAGATTACTCTGCAGCACCTCGCTCAGGAACTTCATCTTCATCCACTTGTCTGCGAACTGGGATGTGAGTGGTGTCTCGTCCTCAGAGGGTTGGCTGTTTTCGTTTTTCGGGATAAAGAGGTCGTCAAGAAGCTTGATACGGGAGATCAGGGTCGCTGCTCGTTCGGCTTCGTCGACAGACATATCGCTGAGATCGAAGACGTCACTTATGAGCTTTGTGGCGACGGCGTTGACGAGGGAGCCAATTGCTGATGCCCAGGCTGAGTAGGGTAGGATCTTCTCCCACAGGGCGGCTTGACTGCGGATATGCGATGAGACATCGCTGATGCTTTGGTCGGCTTCATCACCTTGTTGGAAGAAGTTTTGTGCACCTTGATATGTGTCAGTGAGTGGCATTGATTCTGGATGTAAGTCGCGGGCTGGGGTATCGGTCCCATACAGAGGAGACCAAAACTTACCAGCTAGAAGATCATTAATAATAGTTCGCTGTGCATTCAACTCGCTGGTGTAAGCTCGCTTGCCAAAACTTTCCAGTATCTTGATCTCGGGATCCAATCTGACCATGCCATAGGCACGCGGTTGCAAGTCATCTCGATTTTTCCACTCCAAAGCAAACTGTTTAAGCTCCTCAGAAAGCCAGACAGCATCGTTGTACAGGTACATATTTCCACCAGGCTCATCAGTATAATAGAGCGGCGATACCGAGCGATACATGGCAAGGATGAGAGTAGGAAGACTGAAAAGGCCAGGAGCTGCAGGCGCTATGGGAGTGTGATTGCATCTGCAAAAGGTTAGCAAAGAGCCTATGGTTCTCGATGGAGGGACGACAAACTCGGGTTGAGTCAGCTTAGCACCCTCTTCATAAATTGTTGTGACAGTTTTGTACACAGGCTGTGGTAAAGACGTGGTCCAGTATTTCTCTGATATGGTCATCTCTCGGACTTCGGGCGCCAGACGTTTTGCAACTAGGGGTGGTTTCTGGTCCACAGCTACATAGGCCGGTTCAGGTTCTGATTCAGCAGGTTCCGCGGCATCGTCGTCTCCCCATCCCCAAGCATCCGCAGCGTCATCTACTTCGTCTGGGGGCGGAGCTGTGGTGAATCAGCATCTGCTCGTTACGGGTGGGAAATAGAAAAGCAAAACTCGGCCCGCAAGAAAACCCATTCGCTATCCAAAGCAGGCTAAATACTGGAGAGCTTGAATATCCGGGAGGATGAGGGACATTGAACTTGACTAGTGAACCGGAATTTAGCCTTACCGAAAACTTGGTTGACTTGTCGTTCCTCTTCAAGAGAGCTTCGATTTCGACAACTCCCTTCGGAGTGGTCCTCTTTGGTTTCGCTGTCGCTTTCCCATGCCGCATCCCAGTCTTGCGTGACGGCCGTCCCTGTAGTGATGATATTTTCTCTGTCTTCGCGGGCCACCATTCGTTTCTCGATGCGTTCGGCGAGTTGAGGCATTCCAAGCCCTATAACATACTGAGCAAGACTGGAAGTATAGGGCCTGAAGGATCATTCTTACCCAAGGAGAATTGATTCCTCGTCCAATCCAATGCAGTCTCTCTCTTCTTGGACAACCAAATCTTGGGTGCATTGGCCACCCAGTCATGGAGACCTTCGACTCCAGGCCATTTGAGTTTGTCCAAATTATCGGCAAATTCATGGACTTGTGCCAAGACCTTTTGGTAATCAACCATATCCTCGAGAGTAGCGGGAACGGCGGTGTCGAGCCTGCGAGTTATCAGTGAGGTATTCCCCTGCAAATAATGGATGTTGGAGCTTCTTTCTCCTTAACATGTGCAAATGAAATATCCAGTGTATGTTGAAGACAAGGAACATTGCCACGAATCAAGATTGGAAGAGATCTAGGTGGTTACAGAAACCTCTAGCAATGCATACTGGGCGGAATGACGGACGAAATATCGCTTACCACATATCAAGGATGCGTCTGACCAAAGTCGGCATCATAGCTTTCGATAATGGTTCGATAAATTCGAATGGAAGATTGTCGACGAGGAAGCGAACGATAGCTTCGATATCATTGAAAACGGATTTGATGTGGTGGTCCGTAGTTCCACCACCACGTGAAATACGATTCTAAATAAGTCAGTTGAGCCCCGTTTTGTTTCTGGGGTCGGAGACTCGACCTGCTGGATCTGAATAGTATACAACGATCCTTGTCTACCGTCAAGTGGTAGATTCGTTCGAGGCTTGATTATTATCTCATCCAAATCCATCCAAAGCTTATTCGCAGCCGTCTCGAGCTCTTTGAACGCTTTCAGCCCTATGACGGCTTGGTCTAGATTCGTACCTTGGTCTTCTTTGGATTAGTAGAAACCCCCAAAGGAGTAAGGGGAAGACGTACCCGGTAAATCCTTATTGATTGTGACACTCCGTTGATCGAAGTCGACTCGTATGAGTCCGTTCCAAACTTTTGTAAACTTATCGTGTATATAGCGGCGTTGGTCGAAGCATTTGGCGTCCAGTATCCGCACAGCCCGTACTGTCTTTTCCAGAGGCAGATCAGATATGGCTATCCAAGCAGCTGGAAATGTTAGCAGGGATGCTGTCAACGAGGTTTCGAATGCCACCTTCAAGCTTGAAAAGAGCTTCAACAATCTTTTGCTCTTCTGCGAGATCCTCTGCCTGCCGCAGAATCTCCTTGACGTCCTGTATGCCCTTCAATGCCGAGAGAAGCTGGCCATTGAACACCACCTCCTTCGTCAAGAACTCGACATAGTTCTCTTTCTCCTGCAAGCTCTCCTCTGTCTCATCGTCTAACTCTGCCTGCCGGACAATGGAGCTCGCCAGCTTCCTTGATCGATCGATATCATCTTGAATGGATTTCGCATGCTCGATCCAGGTGTCAACATCGAGAGCGGAGTCACGGCTGATTTGGCGGATCTCTGTCTGAATGTTCTAGTCAGCTTCATTATCCCGGAGTGTCTGTTGTTGGGGGACTGGCTTCTAGTTCTGATCTAGCAGTAGAGAGCGCCGCGAGAGCTGGAGCGAGATATGGCTGTTGCACATAAGCTGCAGACACGCTCTCCTCCTCTGGGAATGCACCGTTGGTCGAGAAGTCGATTAGGACTTGCCCCAGCTGGTCTTGGACAGCTGCTGAGGCCATCTTGCTGAAATTCGGGAGCTCCAAGAGCTTTGAAAGGGAAATCAAAAGGGCAACTGATGGGCGCCGGCTGTGGGTCGGGTCAACGACATTGGTGGGTGTTGATTTCTTCGGCGGGAGTGGGGATTGAGAGGTGATTCATAAAGTCGTTGTTGTCTCTCCTCTTGTTCGAACATTTGACTCGCTTCACTTCGCGTCTGCCCACCTCGGCAAGCGCGCCTGAACTGCACGCGCTTGCCCGCCAATCATATTCCACACCGCCTTTGGGCCGACGACTTTTCTTTCCTCCTTTCCCAAGGCCGGAATCTCTCTCGTTCTGCCAGCTGTCAAGTGCTCTGGATCTCCCCCCCTTTCAAACGACCGCAACTGCAACATACATCCTGTTGTCTTTGCTCCTATTCTTCTGGCCGCAGTTTCGTGTCAGGCTGGGCGATCTGACTTCAGCTCTTGAGTCATCCTCGTGCATTGGGTGCAGCTTGCAAGGCTGCAGCATCCCGTACTCGGTATGTGCGCTCTTGGGCCTGACCAGCATCTCCTTCTTGCATCATTTTCACCTCTCTACCTTCCCTTGCTCTCCCTTCGATGGTAACGATCCGCCCGGCTTGCTTTTGATACAACGTCGTGGGGGCCAAGATGGCGGGGTATTCTTCAGCCAAGAGGCAGGTTGTTGTTGCTACGACAATCTTCTTGCCACTACTTGCTATTGCTCTTTACCAAGCGGTACAATCAAATTGGTACGCTTGAGGATCTACCCCCTTTACGTTTCATCAACACCCCAGTTTCCAGGGAGATGAGGCGGACAAGTGTTCATCACGTGACCAGGTCATCGTGGAGAACGACCACTGGACTCGTCGGGCTGAGTCTTCAGGAGTCAGATCCACGTGGCCCTTGATACACATCTAAGTTCCAACAAACCCCCGGAACGTTCTGCCCCTGTAATCACTGATTGTCTGATCTTGCTGAACATTGCCCGATCAGGCCTCATTCCTAATTTGCCCCTCCGCCACTCTTTTCAGTCCCTCATTCAAATGTACTAACAATCAACAGGACAACTAACGCACCATCATACCTCGAAAGCATTCTTCGACCCAACAAAATGCCCAGCCAAACCAGGAAACCCCATTTTCGGACGATACAGAAGTTCAAGGCAGACTATTCTCCCGCCTCATTCTCTCAATATGTGTCCGAACGGACCGGCATGCATGTTGTAGTGGTCGATCAGAAAGGTCCCAAGGTGCAAGGATACTTCGCCCTAGCAACTGAGATCTTTGACGACTCGGGTTCCCCACATACACTTGAGCATCTGGTTTTCATGGGATCAAAGAGCTATCAGTACAAGGGCCTTCTGGACAAACTTTCCTCAAGAGCGTACTCGAATACCAACGCCTGGACTGCGACCGATCATACCGCATATACGTTAGACACGGCTGGCTGGGAAGGATTTGCCCAAATCCTACCAGTATACCTCGAGCATGTCATTCTACCAACCCTCACAGACGAAGGCTGTTATACAGAAGTCCACCACATCGACGGCGAAGGTAATGATGCAGGTGTCGTTTACTCGGAGATGCAAGGTGTTCAAAACAACGGTGGTGAAATCATGGACCTGAGAGCTCGAAGGCTTTTATACCCCAAGAACGTTGGCTTCCGTTATGAGACGGGTGGGTTGATGGAAAATCTAAGAGTCTTGACTGCGGAGCGAATTCGAGCTTTCCACAAAGAGATGTATCAACCGAAGAACCTGTGCCTTGTTCTTGTGGGAGAGGTAGACGAGGACGATCTACTTCGGATCTTAGATGTGTTTGAAGATGGCATTCTGGATGATATCCCAAAGCCAGATGCTCCGTTCAGGAGGTATTGATTGTACTCTTGATCTTAATCCGACGAGAACTTGCTGACATCATTTAATTAGGCCCTGGATAGAATCGGCTCAGCCCTCTGCTATCAAAGAAACCATTGTCGAATCCGTCCCATTTCCCGAAGAAGATGAGTCCATGGGTGATATCCTCATCGCAATGTTCGGGCCAGACTGCAACGATCCTCTGCAAGTCGCGGCTCTCAATACTCTACTCACATATCTTGCCGGTTCATCCGTCTCAGTCTTGGAAAATATTATGGTCGAGAAGGAGGAGCTCGCCAGTTCCATCGGATACTGGTGGGATTCTCGCCCGAACACTGTGATTTGGTTTCAACCGTCTGGTGTTGCCACCGAGAAGCTTGCTTTCGTCGAGCAACGGTTATTCGACATTTTGAAAGATGTCGCCTCAAAGCCTCTGGACATGAATTACATGCTGGATTGTGTTCGAAGGGAGCGAAGACAGTTGAAATTTAACGCTGAGAGCTCTGGAAGCTTTTACGCCAATGGAGTGATCAATGATTTTCTCTTTGGCAAACGAGATGGATCTACACTCAAGGATTTTGGCACAATCAGCGAATACGAGAAGCTCGAGAAATGGACTGACGCACAATGGAGAGAGTTCCTCAAGCGGTGGATCTCAGACGCTCCCCACATCTCACTGTTGGGGACTCCATCTAAGGAGTTGGCAGAAAAGACTAAAGCTAGCGAGGAAAAGCGTCTTGCCGCTAGACGGGAAGAACTGGGTCCTGCAGGTCTCGCAAAACTTGCAGAAAAGCTAAAAGCTGCGATTGCAAAGAATGACATCGAGATTCCAGACTCGATCTTGCGAAAGTGGCCAGTCCCTGGGGTTGACTCCATTCATTTCATCGAATCAACAAGTGCTCGATCCGGACTGGCCAAGAAGCTAGGCACGCCCTCCAACAGAGTACAAAAGGTCATTAATAGATCGAGTGCGGATCTGCCCCTCTTCCTACAGTTCGAGCATGTTCCAACAAATTTCGTTCACATAACAGTTCTCTTGGGTACGTCTGAGGTCAAGACGGAGCACCGGCCGTTACTACCCCTCTTCATGGACAACTTCTTCAACACTCCAATCATGCAGAATGGACAGAAGATTGAGTTCGAAGAAGTTGTGACTCGTCTCGAGCAGGACACGGTCAGTTACTGTATGACCGGAGGTGGGCGCGCGATGAACGATCCCGAAGGGATTGCCATCCAGTTCCAAGTTGAGCCAGAGAAGTACGCTGCAGTAGTCGAATGGATCCGCACCATGATGTTCGATAGCATCTTCGACGAGGCTAGACTCAACGCTGGCTTGGCCAAGATTCTAGCAGATATCCCCGAAGCAAAACGCAACGGCAATAGCATGATGTACGCTGTCGACGCAATGATCCATCTCGAGAGAGACTCCAGCGTTAAAGCTCGATGTACCTTAGTGAAGGCGATCTACATGAAGCGCCTCAAGAAGCTTCTCGCCAAAGAACCAGAGACGGTTCTCTCTTGGCTTGAAACTCTTCGAAAGTCACTCTTCACCTTCAATAATCTAAGAGCCCTGGTCATCGCGAATGTTGAAAAGCTGCCTGACCCAGTCGAAGCATGGAAGCCATTGATCGCTGGGATGCATACAAAATCGCCCCTTCTTCCCCTCGTCAAGATGTCTCAACGCCTATCTCCCGACGGTCACAATCCAGGTACATACGGCGCAGTAATTGTTCCCATGCCAACAATCGACTCCTCCTTCCTCCTGTCATCAGCCAGGGGACCCACCTCGCCAACAGACCCCATTCTACCCTCTCTCATGGTAGCAATCTCTTTCCTCGAAGCAGTCGAAGGACCGCTCTGGGTCGCTGTTCGGGGCAAGGGCTTAGCGTATGGCTCAGGCTTCAAGCGTGACCCTGATGGAGGATTTGTTCAGTTTAGTGTGTATCGCTCTCCTGACGCCTATCGTGCTTTCGTAGCGGCAAAGGCGGTTGTGGAGAGCTATATCAATGAAGAGGCGAAGTTCGAGCAACATGCTCTCGAGGGAGCTATTTCGGGAATCGTGGTCGGATTCGCGGTAAGCATACTTCCATTGTTCAAGTTTCCCAGGGACAGTCTGGATCGTTGTTCGATATGCTCCAGGGACATTCCGAGAGAGCCGCGCCTTGCCGAAGTCGAGAGAATTGCGGGACATTCAAAATCCGCGCCCTCAATTGTTCCAATTTACCTTGGGACTTTCTGAGAGGCACCCCTGTTATATAATTCAATCTACTCCTGGTACATTCTGATTTGGAAATTGCTGACGCCCAACTCCATATTAGGACGAACAAAGTACAATGTCCACAGCAGGTCAATACCACTTCGTCAACGGCGTCGTCAAGGGCGTAGACGACGATTACAATTCCCAAATCTTAAAAGCTGTGCGCGACGTCACGGTAGACGAAATCAAGAAGGTCATGAAAAACGTGCTCATGCCAGCCTTTACACCAGGTGTAAGCAACGTGGTCGTCACGTGCGCGCCGATTATGGAGGAGGTGAGATTCCCTTTCCTTCCCTCGTCTACCAGCTTTTCCGAATGTTCTGGGTTGTGGGTGCGCATTGAGCAGAAGAGATCATGTTGATTTGCTTCTTGTTCCCTTCACAAGCCCCTCGAGGAGCAGTCTTTGCAGTGGCTTGGTCGATGAGTATAATCCACGTCCACGATCTGAAACATTGCCCCACCCTTTTTGCGTTACCTTATCCCATTCCAACCCATCCTTCCCGTCAAGAAACAGCTGCTAACTCCGCAAACTCAACCAGGGTCAATTAAAAGGCTTTACATCCTCCGGCTTCAAAACACAAGTCCAGCCCCTCTCTGCCTTCCATGAAAGCTATGGCTTGGAAGGCGATGAGGATGAGGATCACGACGATGAAGACGATGACGAGGATGTGGAGATGGATGATGGGGAGAGTACGGAGCATTCGGAGGAGGAGGTGTGATGGGTGGGTAGTGGCGGAGGATGGCAAAAAATGCACTTGATGATAGAATTGATGTTTAGAAAGAATAGATCCAAGAAGGTACCATCTCGAGATATACAGTTCTACTTCCAACCTCGTTTAGAAAAATTTCAAGGTGTACAGCCAAGTTCATCAAGTTCCGCTTGTGATTTACTAAAGCTGAAGGTGGGGTTTCAATGCATACTTTTCTCAACCCCTCCTCTGTTTCTCCAGCATCAGAAGCCATGATATCGAAGGACCTGAGCTATGGGGGCGCAATCTCAAGTCTGAAATTATTGTCATAAACCTTTGTTGTTGTCACCACCCGCTTTCAACATAAGCTTCACTCACTCCTCGCTCCAGCCATTAGGTGCTTTTGATCGTTCTCCCCAGCACTGCGTTTGGTTTACCGTGAGGACTGGTATCGTACATCAGAGCTGTAGAGATACTTCTGGTAATTTAATATAATATTCTTTTTCTTCCTCTCAAGCTTGATTAGATAGTCTTGCTGTTTTTACTCAAGCGCTAATACCCTCGACTCACCCTCACTTATACCTAATATAAAAAGAACATTATGGGAATATACTTAGCTAATAAATTAGTCAAATAGTTCCATTAATAAAAGCCCATATATTAGGGACCCTTGCTTTTTCTTTTGCATCTAGCGTTATTGGTGGGGGCAGTGGGTTGTGCTGGCCGGGGGGTGGGTCGTTTGGTGATGGTCGCATGAGGTTGGTATTGAATGAATTGTGAATTAAGTCTAATTCTGTGGCAATTTTAGTTGGTAGGAGTGAGGGTTGAGCACACGCTCGATTTGAAAAGGTCCAATGAACTTGTGATCTAGCTTTGGAATGGGTCTGGCTGAATCGGTATTGTGTGTGCTAAGTAGCACCATGTCTCCAACTCGATACGCTGGCGCCGGTGATCTATGTGCGTTGGCGAATTGCTCCTGTGAAGCTTGGGCTGACAGTAGATTGGTATGGAGTAAGTCAGTGATCTCTTGCATCTTGGCGGCAAAGTCGTTATCCTCCTTGCTGCGTTCTGCCAGGTCTTTGGATACTGTGCGTGCTGTTGCTCGAGGGGGGCCAAAGCTCATTCGACAGTTCTGGCGGAATTGTCACGGCAACTTTCCCCCTTTCACACCTCACTCCCAATTGGGACTAGGCTCTCGCTTAGCCGCCCACCATGTATTTTAATCGCATCGCGAGAGAAGCTCTCCTCGTCTTCTTCTTCTCTCCTTAGCTTAAAATTCTCAATAGAAAAGTATTCTTGCAAGTGTCTCCTTTGCGAGACCCCCTCTGCAGAGCCGTCACAGCAAGGTTACGATATTTAACAGAGGCTCTTTCTAATATTCTTTCTGGAAGGTTATGGCAAAAAGATAGTTGAAAGAGGAGACGATCTTGATAGTGGGGTTTGAAAATAGTTTACAGGTAGGGAACGTTTTAGTAGTGGGGAGGCTACTACGGCCGGGGTCTTATGGGTACCAAACTTCATTCTCGGCCGACGGGGATGGTCCGTACCTTCGGTACAGCGTTCAGAGGAGCTGAATTTTAAATCACCGCAAGTGCGGCACCTGCTCAGTATAATGTTTCATGAAACTCTTTACTCAAACATCCTGTTGCGATCTCAAAGTCCCAGGTCCATCTCAGCTAATTTGTATCGCGGCTATAAAATCATGCACTTATATTATGCTTTCCAAAAGACTTTCAATTTCGGGAACTTATTTATATCTAGTCCACATCACGAGAGTTCCTTCATAATTGGTTTCAACCGTCCCCACATTTCATCAGCCTCAAGTTTGTACCCCATAACAGAATAACGCTGAATACTTCCTTCTTGCAACTCTACAACCATTTTCTGATGCGACCCAAGATCTATTAGTTCTAATTCCTGCAACTTCTTAAAGTGTGCAGGTAGCTTATCCATTTGCTTGCTCAAAGCAGCAGGGTAGCAATACCTTGCATACGCGGCGTTGATAATGAAATCGTTCGCTTCGGGAGTTATACGTTCAGTAGTATTTCCCCATCCATGAATAAACTTCTCGCACGCAATGTTCAACCCAACCTCAAAGACCCAATTATCGAAGCCGCCAAAAGGACCAGGGAGTTCTGCCCGAGCTTTATCTTGTAGCTCTTGCGTGAAGACTTTCGACGGCATTGGACGAAGATCATTTGGATTGACGCCGTTCGGATTCCCAGTCATAGCCCAATATGGCGAATAAAGCACATTTACGTGAGAGTCAGGGGCAGCATGTTTGGACCGAATCCAAGCAGTTGCCTTATGGCGTGGGAGGTCGTACTTCACGTTGACTCTCTGGAAGATACTCTGGGCGAGATAATCGTGCCGGTCTTCTCCAACAAGATATCTGAGTCCGATTGAGACGCTGGGGATGCCCATGAGAGTGAAGAGATCGACTGCTCCGCTGCGGAAACCGACTACGAGTTGGAAACAGTTCATTTCGTAGGCGGTAAGGAGGAAGAGCGCTTCGATGTCTCGCTTGGTGACGTTGGGGTCGTCATTGTATGCAGCTCTGACGCTACTCAGTTGAAGCCAGTACTCTCCAATGCTACGCGCCTTGCCTGTGCTCGCGACGCTGCCGCACATGACGGGCCTGAGAGGGTCTCCAGAGCTGCTTGCCGTGCTAGAGACGACTTCGAGGATCTGCTCCAATGCATGGCCAGTGTCGAGTTCAGGGTATGCCCCCGGTGTAGCTCCTCCAACTGCGCCTGAATCTCGATGCACTACAAGTACTGTATTTTGAGCAGTGGGATTTCCGAACAAAGTTACAACTATCGGTTGCAACATTGCTTTGATTTTCGCTTCGACGCTTGGATTGGGAAACAAGGCCATTGACTCCTTGATCTTCTTGAAGTTTCCATCACTGATCCCGGTAGCAAAAGCTCGACTCGCGTTCGCCTCGCTACGGAGCTTGAAGTCCTTCCGGTATAAAAGCATATGCTGGTATTCGTGGCCCAAGGGTGCTGATTTGTATCCATTTCCATCGGTGCCATTCCCTATGCCCAAAGTGCAATTTGCGATCTTGCTCGGGTAGTTTATAGCTCCAGGCGCTGAGTATTCGGTGTAGTTCCAAGGGACGGTGAAGTAGTCTTGACCCAGATTCCGTGCCGTCCAGCAAAGGTAAGTCTCTAGATCTTGCGTCTTGTCGGAGCTATCGTATATGAAGAGAGGTCCTGGGAGGAGAGTCATTGCTGCTCGAATAGCGTACATGTCTCCTCGATGTGTTGCTGAAAGATAATACATGAATTTAGTTTTGTTGGTTTTGAAAGCCGTGGGCAGCCATATTCCGTCTCGTACTTGACTTGAACTCGACATCTTTGAATATGGCGCTGGGCGTCGTTGCGATGTTGAACGCCGTCTCTGGGCAAGAAATCTCGTATTTATGTCAGGGCTCGATGGCTAGGTGCTTCCCAATTCGAGGTGTAAGAGCGCGGGATGTGTTTCACATCGATGGGACCCGGCGAACTCATTGCCCCAAGCCTTGCGGACCATTGAAGGGCTCGTCTGAAGAATGTAGACCGAATCGGGCGGGCTGCATTGTGTAGCTGTCAACGGTTGACGTTGGAAATCTTGGTCGCTGGGCTGGCAAGAAGGAGCAGTATTTGCTCGGCAGTGGAGGAGCAAGGCCAAATGGCGGGCTGAAAGCTTCCTTGTGATCCATCATCAGCCCTATTCTCCTTGAAAATGGAGCATTTGGCTTGCTGCTGACGAGCTGCGATGCTGAATTCGAAGTCGTACATCTAAGACAACATGAGATGACTGCAGGGTGGCAATTGAGACAGCTTAAATTTCTTTTGCGGGGTGAAACTAGGGCAATTGAAAGGGGAGGTGTGACCCCGCACTTCTGATGACACGACAGTTCGGCAAATCCGATCGCTCTTTCGGATTGTGGCGTTGGAGTTCATGCACCAGCGGCAGTTTTTGAGAATCCGTGCTACAGCTGAACGCCACAGTCTAGGAGAAGCTGCCGGCCACCGCCACGTCCGATGCTCTTACACCGTGATACTCAACGAAGGACGGCTGAAATGCTCCCCTAACAACAACCAGGAGTCCCAGAAAGATGGGAATTTTTCCTTCCTTGTACAGAATATCGAGTTTTCTACAACTGGCGAGAGAAACGAGGGCTCGCGCTAAAGCTAGATACGAATCTGGTCACAGCTTTGCGCCATTCCAACGGGAAAAACTAAAACGACCCCCCCCCCCCCCCCCTGGGGATCGATTAGGGGTGTCGATTACCAGGATTAGAGGTGGCGATTGGGAGCAAACTAGCCACTAACCCGAAGTGGGGGCGCTCGGGCGGGAATATCGGAACTCTGGCTTTTTATTTATATTAATTCAATTTTACAAGTAATTAATATAATATAATACTTGATTCATTTCCTCATAGCGCTAATTAAGAGCTATTTATATACGAACTTTTTATAAAATGTGGATTAGTAATAGCTCTTCAAATTAAAGAAGTTAAAATTTTCATATTTTATAGCCTAAAGGTAAGCTTACGAGCCCAACCTCATAGGCCTGTGTATACAGGGCATTTTAGTAATAACGAATATTTTAGAACTTTTAAATTTTGAGAATTAATTAATAGAACTATACTTTACCTATTTTAATTCTCAAAGCCCGGATTGTGGGCCGTAATTATTTGTTACTGTCTTGTAACAGTTAAGTGATTGTGAAGACTTTTGCTGTTCGAGACCCTGAAGTAGCCTTTGCGTAGCCTGAAAATGCCCGGAAAATGCCCTGTGCGCACAGACCCATGGGGTTGGGTATCGTTAAGAAAGCCTAGAAATTTAGCGAAAAAGTCTCTAAAACCAGATATAAGAGCCCTATAAGCCTATAATTTATAAGGCCTTCTAGGGCTCAAAAACTAAAACTTAATTAATTAGTGTATAAACTTCCTTAAATTAAAATATTATTTTAAGAAATCACTTTACTATAAGTTAGGAAGTATGTAATTATAATACAAGGGCTATAATATCCTAGCTTACACTTATATTAAAAAATCTAACTTAAGATTTTAAAGAGCTTTAGTAGCTAATTACAAGTCGTCGACACCCCTGCCACAATCGACACCCCTGATCGACACCTGTGGGGGGGGGGGGGGGGGGTCGTTTTAGTTTTTCCCATTCCAACGGCTACTGCCGCAGCCAAGTGCCATCTTTGCAATGTGCGTTCGCGGGATGAAAAGCGTTAGTGTAGAAACCTGGTTCCGCGTCCAAAAAGCCAATAGATGGAGGTACCGGGTACATGCAAAGCCACAGCCAATGCAAGAGTGTTGTCGCCAGGCGGAGATTCTTCTGGCATGGCTGACTGAGACATGCGTGAGATGCTTTTACTTCCTCTGTTATCTTCATTGAGATATCATCCGAGACTACTGTATAACTTTGGCTCACATGGTCAGGAAGATTCAATCCAGCCAGCCTTCTTCCCGCAGCTTCGAAGTGGCGCTTCCCAAATCGACCTCTTGGCAGCTAGTGATTCCATATGGTGTGCATATCTGGCACTGCGGCTGATGCGTAGTCACGCAGGTTCAAGAGTCCCGGAGCAGGAAGCGGTGAGCAAGCGGTGAGCGGGAGGTGGCGACCATGAATATAGGATACTAAACATGGAATGGCTCTTGGGCGAGCTGCGGCAATTCCTCCGAGTTGTGGTGACCTATAAAGGCTTCCTATCCCTTTCTTTTAAGATTTTGGTCGACCTCAGTTCCCTTCAACGCATCTCCTGAACTTCTTCTGAATCTCTCAATTTCAAAGGATATTGCACTTTGAAGTCCCGTTGTCACCATGACGACCCAGGAGCAACAGGCGAAGGATGCGTTGGACATGATCGCCTATGTCTCCCGTCTCCTTCGCCAAGGAATTGCGAATTCACTGCCCGTTTCTGGAGACCAGTACTTGACGGTAGCGATTCCTGGAACGATCATTGACACACGAGACGTTTCCGAGGGTGGCTCGTACGTATGGACGCCGACCAAGACCAAAGATCCTTTGACTCCACTCGCGGTGCAGCAAGCCGAGGCGAAGCTCGTTGATGGAATGATGCCTTTAGCTACTGTGATAGTCGGGAATACAGGAAGAAGTGTGTCTAGGAGCTATAATCGAGCCCTGGATCTTCTCGTGCCTTTGAAATCTGCAGGATCCCCAGGCTGTAAGTTTTGCTTTGGTCCTAATGTCCCTTGTGCTAGGAGTAGCTGCGCTTTGATACTATAGGCATGCACTTACAATACAAACTCCTTTGGAAGTTGAAAAAATTCCGAGCTAACTTACTGGAAGTGGAAAGCGATCCGTCAGATCCAAGGTTCACGAAAGCAATGGACTATCTTAGGTCGACGGACGACGTTGGAAGATCACCTATTGATTATTACATTGCCAAACAAACAGCATGGCAGGAAGCGCAATCTGAGTGGGACAGTGCGAAGCAAGATGCGCATTCTGGCTTTCTCAGACAGTACCCAGGGGGGAAACCCGAAGACATCGCCGCGATCCAACAGGCGATGAATGAGTGGAATCAGGTTAACTTCAGAAAGTACAAGACCAATGTCCAAGGCAAGTGGATGGACTGGGTCACACGGGGAAACAAGTATGAAGTCGAGAACAGTTTTGGTGTCGTCGATATCGAATCCATCATGGCCCGCATTGAGGAGAGCAAGGAGTCCTGGAGAAACTCAACAATTGTTGATGAGGATGGTGCGAATGAGCTTCAAAGCGTGCGCCTCACGCCCAGAAATTGGGCCCAGCTCTGTCAAGACAAAGTTACGCAGTGGAGGGCCACCAATGGAGGCTACTCGTATGAGCAGCTTGAAGCTGAGATTGAACGTCTTACCGAACTGAGCATCTCCATGGACATGATGAAGACTGCCATCACCAACACCGACTTCCCAGTCGACAAGACTGCAGGGGACCCGGACCCAAGTGTCGACACGGCGAACACTGGACTGAAGACAGCCTACAGTGACCTTTACAAGTCTCAAGGCGCTCTCAATACATTGTACTCCAAGAAGGCGGCACAGGATGCAATTGATGCTCAGATCAAGGTCGTTCAAGGGGACGAGGCTAAGCTAGTCACAGCATTGAAAACGTATCGAGACGCCACGAACGCAGGTGGAAAACATTCGTTGCAGACGGGGATGGCCAACGCGCAGGCATGGGTTGACGGCCAGACAGCCTCCATTTTAGCGTCAATCGCCAAATTGAAGGATCTCCTGAAATCAGATCGTTTCAAGGACAGGACTGTCCTTCCCGTCATTGCAGGAGCAAAGGCAGATCCCGACAATCCAGATGTCACTTCTACCGATCTCGCAGGTCCCAGTGATATGAAGGAGAGAGCGGTGTTTGATCCCGTGCCGTCTGTGGACCCGACAGTGCCATCAGTCGCAGGGTCGGTTTTCAATCCATGGACAACAATCAACGTTTCCTACTCAGCAAGCTCCTTCTCACAGAGCAAGTCGTCTTCGTCGTGGGGCATGTCTGTCTCCGGAGGCGTCAATTATGGTCTTTTCAGACTCGGCGGAGCGTACTCTCATGAGGAGGGAAAGTCTGAGATGTATCAAGACATGGCCAAGTGTGATGTTGCTATATCTTTCGACGCCATGGTCGTAAATATCAATCGACCATGGTTATACGGCGAACTGTTTGGCGACTATGAACTTAACGTTGCGGACGGAATCAAGCTCTCCCCAGGACCTGAGCAGCTCCAGCAATGGTTGACGGATGTGAAGAACAACGCGAAGGTACTAGGAGAGTGGACTCAGTTCCCGTCATATCCCACGTCATTCGTCGTTGCCGCGAATACTATCATCGAGTTCACTGGCTCCACCAGCCATATTGAGCAGCACTTCTCGTTCCACAGCAACTCTGGGAGCATTAGCGTCGGGTTTGGTCCGTTTTCTATGAGTGGCAGGTAAGCCATCCCAGATTTCAGTGATTTGGTTGCTGCTGACATCCAACCCAGTTTCCACGAGGAAGCCCAGAATGCCAACGTTCAGATGCAAGCCACGGCGACGGGTTGCAAGATCGCGTTCGGCAGTCCTCAGATCATTGCTTGGACAAGTCAGATCCTACCCCAACTACCGAGACCTAAGGATTTTGATCCATTAGTAACGAATTTCGTGTGATCGATGCCAGTGACCACCATTGGCCAATATTCTTCCTCGGACATCTCGTTCTCCGGTCCCATAACCCTGCTGAGGGTGTTCTCCTTAATTGTGTTCCCATTTGTTGCAATATTCGATAGCAAGATCAATTAATGTATCTACCTTTACCTCCCAAGTTGCCCTGAGCGTGTTGCCAAATTGTTTTGAAAGTCGCATACGAATGCCACATCCTTCCAATCTGGCCAGTGGCAAGGTCTCGGCGCTGCTGCTTGGCAGGCTCTGGAGCAAGGGTAGACCCGGTGTATTAGATAGTATTAGCGGTATGGTAACAAATATTACTGTATATTGATATTACTATATCATATGATATTATGGCCTTATTATATCCCAAAATCTCATGGAGAATTTGAAGTTGCGGCAGGACAAATGCTGTTGGGAGACAAGTGGTGATCGACCAGAAATTACAAAGAAGCAGGAGTTACACGAGATGGAGGTTGGAGAAGCGGCGGCGTTGGCGGGCGGAAGGAAAGACCCAGGGAAAGAATATCTCTATTACTATTCCGGGCCTTTTCTTGGCTATTTAGGTTCTTTCTTTCTTTTAAGTAGCTTTTTTCTTTATAGTTCAGGATTCTTTTTAATTTTAAGAGATTATTAAAAAGTGATTTCGGATTTTAAGCTATAGTTTTAATTATATAATTTTAGAAGTTCTTTAGAGTTTTTAAGATTAGAGAAAGCAGGTAATCAGGTATTATAATCTTTAGATTAAGCTTTCTATTTAATTAAATACTATTACTTCTTGCTTCTATTATCTTATTAGTAATTAATAATAGTTTCTATTTTCTATTCTTATTCTTTATTATTATTTACTAATTCCGGAAGTTCTCCGGAAAAATATAGATATAGCTTCTAATTCTTTTTTACTATATATTTCTTAAAAAGAGAAATATGAAAAATTAGATATAAATAATTATATATACTTAATAGTTCTAATTTATATACCGAATTACTAATATATTTAAGGATTTTAAACGAATCTATAAATTTTAGCTCAAGCTTTTTTATCTTAAGTTTAATATTCCTTATTAATATTATTACCTAGGCTCTTTTAAAATAGTATTTAGCTAACTAGTACCTATTATAGTAGATTTCCCGGTTATTTTATATATAATACTATAGATTTTTAAGCTTTCTCTACTTTGCTTTAAGAATTTCTAGCCTCTTATATATAGCTAGTATCTTTTTTATAATTCTATTAGGATTTTATAGAAATTAAGAGTAATATCTGTAATATATATAAAAAGATATATTTTATAAAATCTAATATTTTGAGTTATTATATATAAATTCCGCAAAAAACAATTTTTTAAACCTGTTATTTTTTTGGGTATTATAATAATATCTCAGGTAATATTCTAGGGCCTGGTTCTGTTTTTCTATTTAATTATTTATCTAAGAATAATAAGCTATATTTAAATATTATTTATATATTAAATAGAAATAGAAAGTAGACTAGAATTAGTTAGTAAATACTATTCCTTAATTAGAAACAATTCTATTAGGGAAGCCAAAGATCGAGAAAACATATTTCTATATAATTTTAATAAATTCTAAAGAATTAACTATTTTATAATATATAATATACCTTACTATTTTAGAGTACTAGTTAATAATTATAAGAATTATATTAAAATCGGGACTTTTTATTAGGTTCTTATATAATAATAAACCTATAATAAAATCTATAAAGATTTTATTTTAGGGTCTTTTAGACTATAATAAACTACTAAGTAAACTATATAGCAAATACCTCTTGGCCTTAATTCTCTAATAGATATTATATTCTTAATAATACTTGCAAATATTTCCTTTTATATTCTTTTAATACTAAGACTTTCTAAAAAGCTTAAAAGTCTTTTTTATTTTATAGTATCCGGCTATTAGATTATTATAATAAAGCTTTATAACTTCTTAATATAAAACAGAATTATTAGATATAATAATTCTTGAATAGTACCTAAATAGGCCCGAATTATTTCTCTAGATTTCTTTTCTCTTAGTATCTCTTTTACTAACCCTCTATTTTAAGATATTTTAATATTAAGAATTGTTTTTCTAAGCTATCTGGATAATCTCTAGAAGGAATTCAAATAGAAGAGCTAGTATTATAGCTCTTTTAATAGCCGTATATATTTATATATAGGGAATTAAATATTTATAATTATTTAATTAAAAAACTCGGGAAACCGAAAAGTCTTTAGTTTTATTAAATAATATAGTTATAGATATCTTTATTACCTTAGCTATAATAATAGAACCTTTAAGGTATTTCCTTATATCTTATTTTTTAACTAATTCTATAGTTAAAGAATCTATAAAATAATCTATTTGCTTATCTTATAGTAAATATTTCTTCTTAACTATTACAAATATAATAAATATTAAATAATACTTATTTTAAAGAAGGAATTCTTTAGATATTTATAAAAATCTCTAAATTGCAATTATAAAAGCTTTTTTTAACTTGTTCTAAAAGATTAGAAGCCAAGTTATATTAATAGGATCTTCTTTATAATTAGGCCTTTTACTAGGTTTATTTACTAGATTTGAGGTATTTCTATAGTAAATAATATTAAAATCATATATTATAAGATATATTATCTAATATATTTAATAATTCTCTAAATACTTTATTTCTATAAAGTATTAAAAGTTATTATAGTCTATAATAACCTCAATTATAAACTTGAACTCTTTAAGATAATAGTACTAATACTTAAAGGCTTTAATAATTATAAGTAGCTTCTTATTATAGGTATTATAGTTGCGTTTGGCTCCGGAAAGTTTTTGGGACCAAAATACTACCAGATACTAGTATTTCTTTAGGCTATTACTAGAATTAACTTATTATAAAATAGTATTAGTAATTGCGAATTTTAATATATTAGTTTTAATATAAATCTTCTTAAAAGAGTCGAAATAAACCAGAATAAATATTATAGTAAAAGCTTTCTTTAAAGTCTTAAAGCTTTTAGCTACTTTATATATTTATATAAAGAGACCGAATTTCCGGCCCCTTTCTATTTCTTTTAAGAGGTCTATTAAGCCTATAATTACCTGAGAGTAATAGTAAATAAATCTATAGTAGAAATTAGTAAATCCAAGAAATACTTAAATATTATAAAACGATTTTAGTTCTGGCTATTTAATAATACTATAGACTTATTTAGGATCCGTTCAAATACTTTTTATTCTAATAAAAAAGCCCAAGAATTCGATTTCCTTAATATTTAACTCGCATTTACTAAGTTTATAAAATAGGTTATTTTTATATAGTCTAGTAAATATCTAGTAAATATAAGTATAATATTTATTTTTATTTCAGGAATAAATAAGGATATTATTTAAATAAATAATTATAAAATAATCTAGAAGTCCTATAAATATAATATTAATATATATTTAAAATATAGCTAGTATTTTAGCTAGCTTAAAAAGTTTTATAAAGTATCTAAAATAGCTATAATAGATTCTAAAAACTATTTTCTATTTATATTTTCTATAAATTCTTATTTAATAATATATATCCTTAAGATCTAATTTTATAAAGATCTTAGCTTTTTAGAACCAATTAAAAGTCTTATTAATAAAAGAAAACAGATACTAATTCTTAATTATAATTTAATTAAGTCTATAATAATTAATATAAAAGTATAGTTCTTTATTCTTTTTGGAAATAAAAAGAATAAATATTTCTATAAGGCTTTTATTAGGCCTTATCTAATATTTATAAAGTATATTTTATAAATATAAATATAATACTTCTAATTAGATCTCTAATAAATTATATAAGAATTTATACGGGATTATACTATTTATATTAATAAAGTATTTAATATTACTAAAATTAGGAAGTTTCAAAGCTTTATTAGAATTAAAAACCTCTAAAAAATTTTCGTATTTATTATTCCGGAAATATATAGGTATTTTGGAGGCTCTTTTCCAGAGGATATTAATTTGCTATATTAAAAACTCTTACTTAATATTACTAGAACTATATAATAAAACAGAGATCTAATAACTATTATATATATATGAAATATATTATCTAGAATAGTTGCATTTGCCTTTAATTAAGAATAAGACTTAAGATATTAGCTTAGGATATAAGTTAAGCTCTTTACTAAACTCTTTTAATATTAGAATTTTAATATTATTAGGCTATATAAATATATATATTTATTATTTCTTAATATAATTTATATATTATATAAAGGTTACTTTATAAAATTTCATACTAAAAATAAGACTATAAGAGCTAATATTCTTATATTTATAAAACCGGAGCTTAAAAGAATATATCTTACTATAATTATCTATAATAAATACCTTAAGATTATAGGCTTAATAGACCTTAAATCTGTTTTTATAAAAGGTTACAAATTTCTAATTATATTTAGCTAAAGTAATAAAGTTCTGGCTTTAAGTCTAATTATTATTAAAGAAGTATAATTTGATCCGGTATTATTAAATCTGCTATATATTTCTAAGGTATTTATTTCTGGCTATATTAACCTTATTTAAATAGTTATATAAAATAATATACCTTTTTTATTATAGCCAAAATTATTAATATTTAAGATTTGGCCTTTTCTTTTCTCTATTTCTTAGGAAAATCTTTTCTAAAGTACTTCTCTATAATAATAATATAAACCTGCTTCTATAAGCGCCTTAATTCTTTTATAATCTTGGCCTTATTAGGGTTCTACTAAGTTTATTTATTATATTTAGAATACTTTATATTTCCTAAAAAGTATTCTTTCTAATTATAAGTTTAATAAATTATATCTAAAGTAGAACTAGTATTCTAGTAGGGCCTAGAAAGGGCCAAAATATTACCTCAGAATTTCTTATATAATTTTCGGAACTTATTTTTCCTTTTTTAATAGCCTTATAAATTAGAATTTACTAAATTAGAATTTTTAAGAATAAAATTACTCTTATTAGATTTCCCTATTTTTACTTTCCTTAATCTAGAATAAGTAATATATTTTGCTTTCTGAGCCTTTTTAAGCTATTCGGAAATAAATACTACTTTATTTCCTAAGAAAATAGATATAAGTAT